ACACATTTTTCTACAAACAAAAACTTGTGTTATCGGATTAATTTAAAAGGTGCTACAAAGAAATTCTACTCATAGCAGCTTTAAATTCACAAATGTAATAAGCTCTAAGCATATTAAGCATAGTGTTTCTTTCTGTTGACCTCATATTTTGGTGTATGGTTGTGTATATATATAGTTGGATCTTGAGTTAAAAAGCATTTTATTCAATTGTGTTTCTCATCTTATATAATCCTAATCATAATTCAAAATAAAGGCCTATTCAGTGTCTTAGCAGACATGATGCAATAAAGTCTGAGACAGAATTCTGATGTGAGAAAAAGGCAGAAGAGAAATCATCAGTCAGAGACACATCGAGTGAAATATAAAGACAGAAAAAAAAGGTGTGCAAGAAAGTACAAATCTGCTGCAATGTAAATGCAATGAAAACAGTTATGTTTGATGATTAGATTCTACCGGTTAGTCATCTTGAATGAGAAAATGTTAAAGCATTTGGAAATGTTTTTGGAAAACAGAATGTTTGGATTTCGATATATAAAAATACAAAGAGATTTCTTTTTTTTTCTGTACATTTTCTTGCAAAATAAAATAATAAAAAAAACATTTTTCATTTAAAACCAAACAAACTGCTGCAGTTTCAGCACAGTCTTCTTACCTGTGTCATAAAATGGTACTGTACATGTGCAGTTAAGTTTTCTGACATTTTTGGGACCTACCGACTGGAAGAGCAATAATATTGCTGACTTCAGCTTGAAGCACAGAAATAGAAAAATGCAGACGGACAGAGAAAAAGAGAAAGCATCGCAGGCCTAATGTTATGTAGAAAGAAGTGTTTGAGACAATCAGTGTAGAAATGTTGTAAATAAGAAAAACTGTCAATCTTCTAAATTTTAATCTTTTATCTTGATTGCCTGGGAAGATTGCCTTTCACTATGCTGCAGATAAAGCATGTTGAATTGGACTGAATTGAACTGAGATAATATCCCATCAGCGCCATGAAAGGGTTGCTGAGAAGCAGAGAGGTCGATGTGTCTCCAGCCATTATCCACCTGCTGTATTAGTGTAACTCTGCTCCTCCTCAATACTCCACCAGTGACAGGAGGCGACAGTGGGTCACACACACACACACACACACAAGCTAATGTAGAAAATAACATGCCTCTGTGTTAAAAGGCTCTCAGAGGATTCCATCGTGGTCACCGTAGTAACAACATCCACATCCATGGCAACCCTGTCTGTGTCACTGCTGGTGACACAAGTTATGCCTGAAATGACTTCCTCGTTCAGTCAGTTTTATTAAGTCTTACTTTTTACTTTGTTTACTTGTTAAAATGTTTCAAATGTAATGTGATGTAATGTTTGAGTTTTCTGTATGAAAGGTACTGTACAAATAAAGTGCAATATTATCATCATTAATACAGTTGGTCTTTGTTTACTCTTATGGTAGACTATGGTATGCCTAGAGTGATAGCACTGTCTGGAGACAAACTTCTTTTTTTAGCAGTCAAAGAAACTTGACATGTCTGTGTGTTGGTGTAGTAATTGCACAGACTTCCACTGTCTACAGTCTGTGAAGCATGTCATTCTGTTAGATGCAGTAATTTACCTTCCAGTGGGATCTTCCATAGTGAGCTTTTTGATGCTGGTGGCAAAGTCTGAACAGTACCAGTTTCACTTGGGTCTAAGCAGCAAACACAAATATGTTTGGCTTTTGAAGGTTTTCTGATCAATTACAGAAAAATCTAATGTTTTCCAAAAAGTCTGGGACCTTCTGTGTGGCCTTTAAATGTTTGATTAGATGCTGGCAAAGACGAGCAGGACTTGTGACTGTTCTTACCACAATAGTGAACATTGGGAGTAAAGCAGATTTGGATGCTTGTAAATCCAGGCGCAGGGCAAGATTAGGATTAGGAAGTGTGTTTTACAACTACAAACATTTTTATGTGGCTTGTCAGGTTGTTCACCGGGTCTCACCAACATTAAAAGTGCATTCTGACCCAATTTCTGTTGCTTGTAATCCCAGTGCAGTTTTAGGCTTATGTCTCTCTAGAGCTCATTGTTAACCACACTGAATGACAGCGTCAGGTAAATATTTGAAAACTGTAACTGTGTACTACATGAATACGTATAGAACATTAACTTTATGCTATATCCCAGGTAGCTTGGTGAGTTAATTGGGACAAATGCAGTTGAGGACCAAATATGAGCAGGTTCTGGCCCATATTTGGCTGCCTGATTTGGATTGTTTGAGCCAGAGTTGAAATATGATACATCACATATTGCAAGTCTGGCTTGTGTCAATTTAGGCCTCTGTTGGGTCAAGCCATTTGGGCTACCAGAGTCACGCTGGAAAAAAAATGGAATGTTTCACTTTGTTGCAAACTCAAGACTCGTGCAACCTTGTTTTCACTAGCTAGGACCACGCCACAACAATATTGAATTTAAAGGTTTAGTGGGTATTCATGAGGTTTTGATGTTAGGGATAGATGAATTGATGTGGATGCTGAAGGCTGGGCAGAGGGAGACTGAGTGTAACGATTCTGTCTCAAGTGTGTTTCTACTGAGCTGCTTACAGGCCCTCAGACCCTACCTAGAATGAGATGTGGAAGAGGTATACACCGACTGAATAGGAAGGGAGGAGGGGAGAGAGGATGAAGAGATGTGGGTAGGAATGAGCAGAGGGAGGGATAGTGCAGGGATGAGGTAAATGCATAAAGGGAAGGGAAAGAAAAATGAGACAAACAAGGCCGGAAGGGGTTGACCAGTAGCTTGCCAGGTGATTAGAGGGGTGGTTGAGGTGTGGCCCTGCTCCTGAACCTAAATTAAATAATCAACTTCACTTGGATGGTTATTAGCCTCTTAACAGTTTATTTCCTGCAGCTGCAGATTAGATGGAATAAAGAAAATATTTCAGAGATAGAAAACAATTTTTTAACATCAGGTTTTAGTGACAACCCTCCCAGAATCAAAGGGCTTTGTTCTTGAGTCATTATTTTGCACTGATGTTGAACAATCACACCAGGTTCAAATCCCACAGAGAAGAGGCTCAGACACCAATTTCTATAAGCCCACAGTCTGCTGCAAGACACACTAGGATTAAGGGCAATAAGGGATGTGGCTGCGATCAGTGATTTATGCCAGGGGGCTCCTCGTGCCATAGTAGTATAAGGGTCATGGCATTAAATCGCAGCGATCCTGGTTTAAGGGACCTTTTTTTTCATGTCCTGTATTTTCTGTCAGCCACTACTGTCAACTAGTTTTATGTGTCTATATTTCCACTTTTGATAGAAAGAAACAAATCCACAACTGTTCTCTGGAGCCAAAGTCATCCTAGGAAAAAGGAAATAGAGGAAGCCGATGTGGAAGAGACAGTCTGAGGGGAAAGTGGGTTCACCAAAAACAATGACACCCCCATCAAATATGTCACAAACCACTGGAGAGCACTGAGCATCAGACTGAAGAGATCTTAGAGGTTTTCCTGTAATAGCAATAGTACTTCTCTAACTTCACTGATTAAATTATGCTTATTTTGACCTTTGTGCTGGGCTGTAGTGACATGTATGTAGTGTTGATGTATGACAGGGCTGCTGCTGCGCTGGCTCATGGACTAACACAGGAGAGAACTGATCATATGGAACCAGTCAGGAAGCAGAAGCACTAACCCAAATCTGCCAATGTCCCGTCCCACATGAATGATGGAAATAGCACCGTTCTAGGTCGTTCTTTAATAACCGCAGAACTAACTTGATGGCACTGTGCTCGTGTGTGTGTGTCAGGCTTCCTAAAGCATCTTTCTACTGAGGTGATTTATACTGTCTGTGGAGAAAGAAAGAGTGTGACACAGTCTAGATGTGATCTGTGGCTGTAACACATGAACACAAATGCTTCTGGATGTGGAGGAGGGGAAAATATATGTATTTTATTTGATTGATTTTGAATTGAATCCACTCATTTGATGAATTTTAGTATTTATTCGGTCAGAAAATTCACAATAAAACACACTAAGCTTCTTTATGAAAGGGATTGTATGACTATTTTACAATAAAAGACCCTGTCATATGGTCCCAATTCTGTTTCAGACTTGTGCTTGTGTGTTTGTGCCTGTGTGCTTGTCCTCACTATTAAAGGAAAACAACTTTCCTGTCCTGTCCTAAAAACAAGGTCAAAGACCTCCTGCTAGAGCACTTCATTATAAACTCACCCTCTAACAACACACACACACACACACACAGGACACCTTGCAGCCACAGCGAGGTCCCATAAAGTGTGGCGTGCATCGATTTTGTGGTCTGTTTTGCAACAAGATGTATGTCTCTGCTCTGAGGAGGAATCGAGTGCTTTTGTCCTTGGCCTTGTTAAAGTGATTTCTCATCACTGTGGTCATCCTTTATCTGACACTGATGAGGTCACAGTAGGACAAACACATAAACAGGTACAGCTGAACAGGTTCAGTTTTTTATTTTTTAGAAAAAAAAATTGTTTTGTTGAATTTTCACAATAAAGTTTCATTAAGAAGTGCAAAAATCTTGATGGATTACAAAAATGCCAATCAGTAAACATACATTCACTAATTCAGTTTAGTTTATTTTCATTTTGTTTTATAGGATTGCAATAGATAGCATAATCTGAGCGTTCCTCAACAGAGAACTCTTTATTTGTGTCTTGAGATAGCCAGAAAAAAATATTTTGAGTTTAAACTAAAAAAAAAAAAAAAGTTTTTAGCTGCGACCACATCTATAGCTCACTGTCAGTCGGTTGGTCAGTTGGTCGAAAATGTCCCCTCTCTTCAGTGGCCACAGTTTTCCGCCTAGGAGGCTGAAATTTGGCATGCAGGTCAAGTGCTCCTGAGGTTGTGCGTGTGTGTGAATGCCACACACCCACAGCTAATGCCATAAACTGGCTCTACGCTGGCAACTGTTTTCTTTCAAAATATTTTATTCACTTTGGTGCATAAAAATTTGTGTACAGCAGCTGAATATATTTGTCTGTCTGCTTCCCTGCAGTGGATACGGAGGGAAGGAAGTTGAAGGGAGGCATCCAGAGGAGCACAGAGACGGGTCTGGCTGTAGAGATGCCCAGTCGGACTGTCCGCCAGGCCAGCCACGAGTCTATAGAGGACAGCATGAACAGCTACGGCTCCGAGGGAAAGTGAGTAACCTGTCCTGCATCGACACAAACAGAACCCAGTTTATCTGGATCCAGCAACAACATTCTGATACACTCACATGAGAATCACATATTCACATATTTTGTGAATTTGGTGAGAGAGAGAGAGAGAGAGAGAGAGAGAGAGAGAGGTATGGCATCCAACAAAGGTCAGAATCCAACCATAGCTGTTACTTATGTTTTATTGTTTTTTTATTATATGTTTTATAATTATTATTTCAAAAACTGTGAACTGATTTCAGTGAAATTTGGTAACAGTTAAGCCATGAACACAGGAGTAAAATACATTTTGGTGTGATTCTGAAATATCTGAAATTTGCATTTTTCAGCATTTTTGGAGGTTTTTTGCTGGGAGTTTTGATTTGCTCCTGTTAATCATCTTTTCTCTCTCTGTGTGTGTGTTGTTTTTCAACAATTTAAGAACAAATTCCAAAATGTTTCTGAAATTCTGAAATGTGAAAGATCCTTCAGCATCTGTGGAGGTTTTGCACTTGACAAGTAGTTTCAAGTTCCTTCTTATTTCCATTTTGTTTTCCTCCTTAACTGTCTTCTCCTGCTAGTGTGTTTCTATCATCCATCTAACAGACGCAGTCAGCGGGGGGGATGGCACACAGAGAGAGGGAGTATACAGTAAAGCCCAGTGGAATAGCGCCTATGACATCAGCAATAATAGTGTAGTACTACTGAACACACACACACACACACACACACACACACACACACACACACGCTGATCAGTGCCAACCTGGCTACCAGCTTGAATTCCTACAGTTACATAAGAAGAGGAGGCAGACAGACAGACTGACAGGCTGATGGGGGCTGGGAGGGTTTAAAGGAAAACAAGGAGAGGTAGAGACTCAGAGACTCAGAGGATGATTGCATCATTGAGTGTGTTTGCATGCTTATTAATATTCCATTTATATCTGGAATATATTCTGTTTAGGAGCTGCTGCATGAAACCCTTGTTTAGTATGTTTAGAGTATGTGTAATAGGACGATGCTAGCTGGTTTATTCTGTAATGTCAACTCTATACTCTAAATATATGCATCTGTAGGAAAAAATGAAACACTGATGTGATCTGTGTTTTTTACACTGAGCCGGTTTGGTTCAGCTCTACAGTGTTTACTCCTCTTCATCCGCAAACCAGTCACATAATTTGTCCAATCAGTCTCTTAATGTTCACGTACTTACAGTATAATTTGAAACTGCAAATATGCTTTGAAAGAAACATAACGGTGCCTGGATTATGTTTTCTATTAACATAATAAGAAAATGTTTTTAATTAACATATCAAGTCACAAACTGTTGATCCTGAATGTATCAGCAATGTACACTGACAGCATACTTTATCTGTTCATTCATTTCATTATAAAACGTTTTTGTGTTTATCTTTAAAGGACTCACAGAACCTTTTTCAAGTTATGAAAAGATTGTGTTCTTGGTTAAATATTAAAAAAAGTCATTATTGCCTTAACTTATACACAGGCAGTAAAATAAGTCTTAAGTGACATAATTTAAAGTCTGGTCATTTTGTGAAGAAAAAAAAAACAACACAAAACCAAACTTGACATAATTTCTTATTGTTACTTCTCTCAAGTGCTAGAAGTCCAATAATCTTACAAACTGACCTTGAATGCTTAAAATACAATCAATATGACCAGAGCACAACAGGTTAGAAGCATCTTCCTCATAAAATAAACAGATGGAGGAAACTTAAAGCAAGAAGCTTGACACTGAAATGTGCGTGAGATTTATCATTGATAAGCTACATTTTTTAAAACTTTAATATTAACCATTTAGCCTCTAAGACTGTGTATTGACACATTACAACACAGGTGTTAAGATTCAGTATAGATTAGCACCTTACGCGTACAATCTGAGTTGAAAAACTTTTTTTTTTTTTGCTCAGTGGGTAGGGCTGGCGACCCATGTACCAAGGCTGAGTNNGACCTGTGGCCCTTTGCTGCGTGTGATCCCCTCTCTCTGCCCACCTTTCCTGTCTGTCTTCAGCTGTCATTATAATGAAGGCAATAAAAGCCCAAAAAAATATACTTTAAAAAAAGGTTTTCATGCAACCAGAACAGTGGGATCTGCATTTGTATTTACTATAAATAGCATTTTTGAGAATTAATACAATACCACAAAATATAACAATAAAATATTTTTTGCTATTTTCTTACACCCCTGATAGCCACTATTTCTCCACAAACGTAACCTTTATAGTTAATTCTTTATAGTTAATTTATATTCAAAAGTTAGAAATTGTCTAAATAATACTATTGTTGCGTAACTATTGTATTATCTCTTGATTCTGTCAGATAGAGGAGCTACTGTAAGTGGTTAAAATGTAAATCTGTTTATGCTCTAAGCTCCAGGCTGCACTACATAGAGGCAGAGTAAACTGAGCTGCACCACCACATTATTTAAATCAGCAGCAGCAAACCGCTGCTTGTCTTCCTGTTTGCTCGTGTTTCCGTCAGCTGTTTGGCTCAGTCCACTGATTGAAAAGCTCTGTGCCTGCCTATGCACGACCATGAATAAGCACTTTGTTAGCTAACACCATCCAATCACACTTATGAGCTTATTGATTTGTGGTCCGGCCAATTCAGGACCCGGAATATGTGTGTGTGTGTGTGAGTGTGTGTGAGTGATGATGGGGCTGAATGGGAATGGTTTGCTATGTTTGTATAAGGGATAAGAGAGTCTTACATTACATATTGTCCTGTCTGTTCAGTTCGGGTGACTAAATGACATAACATGGCGAATAAAGACACTGTTGACATTTAATTGGGTTTAAGTTTTTCAAGTTAAATTTACTGCCTTTTCTCCTGGCAGCTTAACCATAGTACTACGTTTGTAGTGCGATGCGCAGCACTGTAGAGTTTACAGTTACAGTGGCGAACGTTGCAACACTGTGTCCAGTGTTCATTGTGAATGCACTTGCAAAACCATCACTAACAGCATGCTGAATTTTAAATACTTTTGACTATTTCAATATGACATAATAAGGTGTTTACTTTTTTACCATCGAAACCACAATCTGTGACTTTTGTGCAGAATAAGAATGTAACACTGGACTGCAAAAACATAGCACAATATTATAGAGAAAAATAAAGATTAGACATTTAGGTTTTCTTCCTTTGCTTAATATAAACAACCCACTCAAAGATGACATGTGTTTCTGGTCCAGTTTATGTTTCCAACATCCTGTTGACAAGCACCTCCTGAATCATTGATTTTTCACCTTCATTCACTTTAACTAATTCAAACCAGACTTCACACTCACCTGCAAAACATAAATGGTGACTAACAGTCTTATATAATACGATATAGAATATGGAATACATTTTGCAATATAGGACCTTGAATATTTGTAGCAATTCCCGTATGTCATCTGCCTACAGCACGCGGTTTACATTGAGCGTCATATTTCTGTGAAACAGCAGCGTAATCCCCAGATGTGCCTCACACACACCAATATTATAATCTAAAGCTCAGGATTTTATCACCCAGTAATACCCACTCGGCTAATGTTGCTTGACTTATTGCATGTCAGGTCTCTCTACACACACACACATACACACACACACACACAAAGGATTTTACGTCATTATAGTTTCTCTCATATGCTGATTTATTAATTCTGTGTATCTTAATTTACTTATTGCAGTACATACCAGCAATAAGTGCCCACATGCACAGGAATGGGAGCCTACAACTCTGGAAATATTTACATTTTCAGAAACACACATTAACATAAAACACATAACTGCATAAACATCAAAATGTAAATGAGAAATCAGGAGTATGAATTAATATTAAATATTAAAAATGACCTGTGATAATTTAATGTTTGCTAACGTCTGCATAAATGACTAATTCAAGCTAAGTGAGTTTGTATGTTAATCAGAGAGACCTGCCTTGTAAATTATTTTGTAAGTACTGTTGTGCTGTTTGGCTACTCACTGTGAAGTTAATATTAAATGTCAGGCTGTGAGACTTTGTTGGAACAATCCAGTAAATATTTTAACACTTTTTTCCTTCATTTAACGAGGAATACAAAGCTGTCGGGGGATTTAGACTGCAGTCCTTGTTGGGTTTAAAAAACTGATAAATAAACCTGTTTTCTTAAATGTGCAGCTAAAGTACCCTCATCAGAGCAGGGCTGAATAAAGATTGTGCAAACAGAATATAGAAATGTGAAAGTAGAGACAAGGAGGAGAAAGATGAAGGTTAAGGAAATGTATAAGAAGAAAGGGAGAAAAGAGGAAAAAGGCTGCCATCATAATGTGATAAACAAACTCATCACAGTGTAATTATTATTATTAATTATGGATTTTTTTATAGCCCTGGGGTGTTGCATGGATGTAACTAGTTAAGTGCCTAATCATCCCAGGAAGTGACGCAAATGAGGTTCTCCCGGATGTTTGACAACTTGCAGGGTTAGCTCTTTAACTGGGAAACTAACCATTCCAACAGTCCACCAAGCTATGAAACTAGACTAAGTTTACTCAAAGTTACATATTTGTATCATTGGCTCCTGTCTCAATGCCTCTTAAGTGGAGCACTTTATACTCCTGGAGAGCAGGAGCCACAACAACCAGGTGCCCCAAGCAATGAAAAATACTTCAGCTGATTAGACCGGTGGACTCAGGGCTGTGGGCCAATTGGCATAGATAGATGCACTGGTAAAGGAAATAGCTTACCTCCGGTCCAGCTCCACATGAACATATCTCTGTTTCCTCTTGTTGTGGAGGTCAATCACACCAGGTCCAGCACAAGTTTATTTTTAGACACAGAACGTGCCGACAAAAAAGAGTTGGCAATTTGAGTAGCAGCTTCTTTTATGTGGCAATCTCTTCCACCTCTTCAACACTCTCTCTCTTTTAAGTACAGGTGAAAATAATAGGGTGTCTCTACACACAACTGTATAAAAGGGAGTTTTCAGACTACTCAACATGTATACTTTTGCCAGTGTTGTAACCCCCAATTTCTACACGTGTTCTCAAGTGTTTCAGTTATTCTGGCTGATAAGACCTCTACTCAGATGGGCAGAGCTAAAAGGAATTTGCTGCGGTCCAAAAAAACTATCAGGAGAGTTAAGGAGATGTAAATCAATCACAATCACATCTTGAGAGGAGGTTTAACTAAGCCAAAGTAAGTGGATACTGTGTGGTTGGACCATGGTTGCAGAACCTTTAAGGAGAACACATACACACACACACACACACACACACACACACACACACACACAACAACATCCATGCTGTCACAGAAACAGGAACCAGTGCTGCTGGTTCTGAAGTCAAACGCCTGAACTGCTTGGCCATCATAGTTCAGACCTCTACTAAGCATCACAGATTTATGATTTATGATATATATACATCAGCATCAGAGCATGTTTGGGTGGATTTGTCCTTCCATGGAACACACACATACACACATACACAGTTGTGTACCTGGCTCTCTGCCACCAAAGCACTCTGAGCTGATTCCTTTGCACAAACACACACAAAAACACACAAACTAAGGACACATGGGGGTCAAACTCTAAAACTAACACTCTGAGTTTAGTTTCAGAGAGCCAATTTAAATTTTGGGAGTTTAACTAAGTTGAAACAGGAGTTATTCGTTATTTTCTATACTTTGTTTTTCTCTTTATTCATCCAGACTGTTTTTGTCTGTTTCTCATCCTCTGTCTTAATCTTCCCGTCTCTGACTCACTTTCTCTATCAAAGTACAGTGAGAACTGCCTGGTCATGTATAACCCTCTGTCCCTCTCTCTGCAGCCTGAACTACAGTGGCATGTGTCTGGCATCGGATGCACAGTTCAGCGACTTCCTGGACGGGATGGGACCCGCCCAGTTTGTTGGGAGACAGACGCTGGCGACAACATCCATGGGTAAAAGACGACAAAAGTTTTTATTTTTACAATCGTTTTGCAAAGCTTTTCCCAAACAGTGCATCTACAGTCAGGCTTTCATCCAATCTTTTGTTAACAAAGATGATGCAAGACAAAAAACTTAATCTATACCACCATACTTAATTATCTCCAAGTTGAGGAGGAAAATTATCAAGATTTGGGGGTCATAACTATCATCTATATTTTGTAAAATGCCCCTGAAACAAGAAACTCTCTCGATGAAAAATTGGTCTGATAATTTAAAAGGAAAAACAGTTTATTTCCTCATAAAACTGAACCAAACGACTGCTGAAATCATTTCACGTTGGCAAAAAACTGCCCCATAAATCAGAGCTTGGTCCTACTGCACAGTTTTTCTCAACGGCCCCTGCACTTACTCATTTCCAGGCTGTATATACTGGATATATTGTATGCAGCCTGTCCTCCACAGCAGTGATCTACTGTAAGTGGGTCAGTTTCCTCGCTGGCAGCCAGACAGTGTCCTTGGCCCGACAACAGTGACACTGACTGGACCGACTCCACTCCAAACCTGCTGTCCAGTCCAACATTATATAATATCAGAGAACTCAGAATAACTTGGCTGACATCTGCTCTCTGTCACTTTCAAAGGAATGCATTTGTCATTTTGGGGACATTTAGCTGAAACTGTTTTCCAATATGACTTTCAGTAAAGGGAGTGAAGAAAAGGTTTCATTTTCAAGATCACAAAAAGCTCTAAAGATTTTCATCTCTAGGAGCCAGAAAGAAAGACAGTGCTAACTAACTGTCCGCTCACAAAGTTGATATGGATGACATGTTGGCAAACACTTACCTACTTAAGGCCCAAGTATGCTTGCCGTTTGAGACTTGTCGCGCGACACTGTGACGTCAAAATGACGTAGATCTCGCTGGCGCGCCAGGATTTT